CACACACACACACAGACACACACACACACACACACACACACACACACACACACACACACACACACACACACACACACCTGCTGTTTTTTTTCTAACCTCGTGGGGACTTTGCATTGACTTCCATTCATTTCTCAGTCATTTTTATAGCCTAACCCTGACCCACCAACAGTATTTCCCCTAATGGGGACAGAGTAGTTGTCCCCATAAGAAACAGTGGGTCCTCACCAGGCTGTGTGTGTCTAGAAAATGGTCAAAAGTCATTCTCACTGGGTAGCAAAAACACACAAACTCACCCTAAAATGCCATCCAGTGTCTGAAGATGTCATCATAGAGACCAATCAAGATGCTTGTTGAAATGAAACTTCAATGCAAAGGAAAAGCCAAGACTAGATTGTGTCTCTGTTTGTTTGTAAATAAAAATATGACTTTATTAAAACCAAAAAAAAAGTGTCTTTTGATTCATTAAATTTTAATTTGGACACAGCTGAAATATCTGTCTGCATCACAGAGAGCAAGAAATGATTTCGTCTGGTTTCAGTTTTTATCTCCAAGTCACAACATTCACAAGGACAATAAAGAAACAAATAAATAATAACAACAGCAATAATGATAAGCTCTGTCATAAGGCTGCTTAACGCCTGCTGACATAGGTGAAGGCAGGGCGATCATGTTTTTGCCTTGGATTGTTGCCATTACCCACTGGAATCATCTCTGTCTGTTAGCAAAATGTCTCATGAAATACTGGAAGGATTTTAATTAAACGTTCTGAAAGTCATCAATAGATGTATAAAAGGTGGCTACCACAGCCAACTGACTGTCAGAAACACAAAAGTGGCTCTAGCTCAGCAAATATTACAAGCATTGAGCTAAAATTTAGTGTGATAATAGTTGTGCTTTGTCCCTAAAAYTTAATTCAAGCACAACACATTTCAATGAAATGATCAGAGATGATCTTTGCCTTACATCCACAGCTGATTGGAGTCAACCCAGTTCCAGATGACCACCACAGCTAATCAACGTCAGCCAAAACAAAACTAGTGAGTTTAACACATAATAAGCTAAAATGTGTTTGCAGTAGTAGCTGAGAGTCATCCACAGTATGAACTTCAAGCACTAACAGAGCTTGAGATCCCATATTTTCAAGGTTTGACCATGTTTGAGCTTAAGATGAACTTGCTTTAAACATTTTGTTACAAAAGTTAGTGGGAAATTTGCATTCCTTCAGCGACTGCTGGGCCTTTGAATATTAAGAAATGCGTTGCGATTTGGAGTTTTCCACGCCAGGACAGGACCTATTACCCATGCTGAGCACGTGCACACTCACATGTAAACAAATGCACAMTCATGCACAGACAGCAGCTGAGCTGAGCGACTTATGATTTTTACACTTATTAATTCTGTCAACAAAGCTTGCAGAGGCAGGATTTACACACAAGATTACATTGGTGGTGTAGTAGGGAGAAAAAAAAAGAAGTGAGTGCGGGTGAAAAAAATAACAAAGAAAGAAGGAGGAGGAGGAGGCAGGGAGCAAGCATTCTGGTTGAGAGACACACAGACTCTGATGGAGGAGAGCAGGGATTCATCTGGGATTACTTAACAGCTTAGCCACATACACCAGCGTGCACGTCGCGCACGGGAACATCCACACGCAGATGCTGGCATAAATAAAAACACTTTCTCTCTGAGGGACGGGAGGAAAATAGGAGCGCTTACAGGAGAAGTGTTTTAAAAGAAAGGGTCTAATTAGCAAAGCAAGACGCCAGAGCCTGGGGGACACGTTGGGCAAGGAGTGTGTGTGTGTGTGTGTGTGTGTGTGTGTGTGTGTGTGTGTGTGTG